TGAAGAAATGTCAAGAGCTGAGTATGTGTCCTAGTTTTCTTTCTGTTGTTGTGATAAGTGCCATGACCAAAAGCAACCTGGGAGGAAATGGCTTACTCCATCACACATTTGTGCTCCATCATGAAGAGCAGCCAGGTCAGGAACTGAGGCAGAGACCTCAGAGGAACACTGCATACTTGATTGCTCCCCATGGTGTGCTCATACAATTCAGGCCCCTCCCGAAGGGTGGCGCCACCCACAGTGAGCTGGTCTTTTCTGCATCAATCATTAATTAAGAAAATGCCCTACAGATTTACCCACAAGACAATCTGATAGAGGCAGTTCCTTGACTGAAATTCTACCTTTTAGGGTGACTCTAGTTTGTGTCAAGTTTACAAAAACTTCACCAGCATGGCAGGTTGCTTCAGTAATCGAATACTGAATGCCAGGCTAATGTCTCAGTCTTCACAATCTTGGAGTAAGATTTGGTATTTTCCATTCTTTCCATAGACCCTTAGTAGTGAAGGCTCTTATATAGCTTAAAGAAAGTCAGTGTTGGGACTCTAAGAAAAGTGTTTTTGAATGTTCCACTCTGTTCTTTCATCTCTAATTGCTACCCTTCTGGGAAGTGACATGTAACCCTGCTAAGCCCTGACATAGAGAAAGATGACAACAGGAATGTTGGGGGTGACCTCACATTGCATCACATCACCTAGTGTTCTTACATTAGCATGGAAGGGTACTCTCCATCCATCCAAGGTCCTGTTGAGTGACAGGTAGGACCAGTCCCTGGACTTCCTCAGTCACATCTTGAGAACTTGTGTGAAGGTTCTAGCATATGAGCAAGCTACCCTTGTCCAATGGTCTTCCTTCATCAGGGAAGGTAATTGTCTTTGGAGCACGTTGCTTTGAGAAGGATGAAAACAGAGTGCTGAGGTAGGAAGGGAATACCCACCTGGCCAGCCAGATCAGTCAACTCTAGCAGTTGATGAGGTGACTGGTGTCACAGCCCGACCCCTCAGCCACGTCTTACTGCAGTGTATTTGACTGACTTTTCATAGTGGTTGAACTTTGTTCAACCCATCTCTCGGCATCAACTCGAACTATAAAACATCACTTCCTCTACTGTATTTTCAACTATCTGATCATCAGCCAGACCTGGGAGGAAGCTAGCTCGTTTCATTTTCCTGTCAGCCACCAAAAGGGGTCAGGAACTCTGATAACGTCTTTAGTGTGAAGGGTGCAGAGTTGTGGAGAAAAAGTGGCCCATCTGAAATTCAAGGAGGCCAACACGGGTGTGCTTTGGACAGCATTGCTCAGATTCTATCTAGGGTGATGTAGCTACGTCGACAGGGTGTGTAAAGAATCTGTTGACCACCAGAACTAACATTCTCAATTGCACGTGGCTCCCATCAACCCAACCAGCCCTCTAAACCATAGTCAGATTAAAAAAAAAGGGGGGGGGAGAAAAGTGAAGTGTGAATATGAACGATAACCATCTTGTGACTGTGACCTGTTACAGGCCTACTGAACAGTTCTTAACATCTCAAGCCTCAGCAGGAAACCGCACGATCTATGAAGCTTGTCCAGCAGAGTGAGTCTGATTTTAGATGGCTTGGTTAACCCAGATTGCCTTCAGTGCCTGGGGGAGTGGATATTTTCTTATTATGGAGACTTTTCCAGCCAGTGAAGGCTATGCATACAACTGCTCAGAACCCGTCTGAACTGCCCGTTTCCGTGGTAGCAGGCCTGTCTGGAGGATGGATCTGTACCACCTTCTTTTGTTTGGGTTTCAGCCATTTGTGTTACAAGAAGTTCCAAAATGTGCCATAAGGGACATCCAACAAGGTAGGCTTGGCCTGTAGGAGAGGGAAGCTTTGTCATGGATGGGCTACATACCCTAGGGCCAGATGGGTGTGTCTAAGAGAAAACCATCAAAGAGATACAGACCCCATGCCTAAATATTTATTTAGGTGGTTCAGATTTCCCACACTTTTCAAATGTGAACGTGTGTCCTGAAGGTGGAGCTTTAGTATAGGAGAAAATTGGGAAGGGGCAAAGCATTTGCTCAAAATGGGGCAGGATCAGCAAAGAACGTTGTTTCCAGGTTTCCTGACCGCCTGTATTTTTTCATGCCAAAAAGTTAGCATGGATTCTGGTTTTTTCCACTATAGGAGTCTGCATACAATTAAACAGGAGGAAAAAGGGAGCCTGCTTGCAGGATCGGGGCTTACAGTCTCAGCAAAATAAGGAGACACAGGAATCATCAGAGCTATTTCTCCTCCTTGCTGGTAATTTTTGTAAGATGTTGTATCTTTTTCAAAATGCAGCAGCAAAGGATTGAACGGTGATCAAAATGCCACACCATAGAGTATGCCTAATCCAAATGGCTTCCAAGATGGTCTGCAACTGATTGTAGCAACCCTACAGGATTTAGGGAAATGACTTGGTTCCCAGTGAAGTAAAACTATCTCTGAAATGGAATTGAATGCAGCGTCTCAGCACTTCTCCCTGCTAGTCCATTTGGGAAGCCACGAGAACCTCCATGTTGATCACTCACAGGTAACTGCAGGGGGACCGCACAAAGGCCCCTCTGCTATGCCGTGTGTGTGGGGGGGCTCAGTGTGCTTTGGGAGAGGGTTATATTTTTTCCAATTTCAGCAACGCAAAAAATCTTTAAAGTATTTCAGGTGGTGGGGGATTGGGGAAGATGGCCTGTTTTTTGTTTGTTTTGTTTTTGGTTTTTTTGTTGGTATTTTTTCCCCCTGGTAGCAGTTAAACCATCTGATTTGCGTTCCTTAAGAGGTCCATACTAACATCCACCTAGACCCACACCCCCCCCTCTTTTCTCTTTCCTCCATTTTCTGTCACTACAGAAGGGGTGACCCCTGTCTAACATTTAAAAACATTGGCACTGTCTGTTGCCAGGCAAAAACAATGATAGCAGTTGTGTGTGTGTGTGTGTGTGTGTGTGTGTGTGCGTGTGCCTGTGTGTGTAGGTAGGTAGGTAGGTAGGTGGAATGGAAGCCAAGGCCTAGGTCAAACTCTCTGTCACTGAGCTACGTCCACCCCTAATGTAGTCCCGTCAGCTGTACATCTAGGTTAGGCTCTCAAGCTTCTTGTCCACTTGATCCCTCCTCCCTTCTGCCTTTCTAAGGTCCAACCAGCAAGGAGGAGAGTCTGAGCAGTGTCATGGAAGTGCCTGGCGCTGCCGATTTGACCCTGAGAAAACTCATGTAGCCACTACAAAAACAACAAAACAAAGCCAGATTTCATCCAGAGCTGGGTTGACTTGGAGGGAAGGAGGAAAGAACACACAGTGGCCAGCTGTGGTCCATGATGTGGAAAAGATCTAGGAAGGGGTGCGGGTCCTTTAGCCCCCTCTCCATCCACGGCTGTGTTGGAAGCACCTGAGTTTGCCTCTGGGGAACTCTCTTCTAAGAAAATGTGAGCCTGTCCGCTGCCCAGAGCACAGAGATTTTCTGTTCCGGAAATTCTTGGTGGCTTGAGGGACGACCCAACTGACAGTTGCTCCCTGGGTGAAGTGGAGGGACCGCAGAGGCTCTAAAGACCAGAAGTGGGACACGGTGGCAGAAGGAGAACCTCTGGGAACGTAAAGTACCAGACTCTGAGATGGGAGCAATGGCTGAGCACAGAGCAATTGTGTTTCAAATAATGACCTCCGGGAGTGTTTTAGTGGCCACAGGTGGCACTGGCCTAGCAAACTGCCTCTAAGAGGCTCTGGAGTGAGGGAGGGATGGATTCCAATCTCAGCTGTGCTATTTGCCAACAGTAGTACCCTGGTGGGCTCCACGGCCTCTTCAAGATCACTCTCAAAAGCCGAGTGAGGATGGTAACAGTCACTAATTAATACTGTTGTTTTGAGTGTTAAGTGACTAGAAATCAACATGGTGCATTTAGAACTACGCCCATAACATAGCAAATGCTCAATAAATGCTAGCTATTATCATTAGGATTAGATAGTGAGCAGAACTTTCTAAGTGCTGGGTCTGAGAGCCTGGGACTCCGTTGCCAAGGGAAACTAGGGAGCCTTTTCAAATATGAGAGCTCTGGCCTGAGGGATTGTCCACAACGAGCCTGTGGCGCCTTTCTCCCACCTCACTCTGACCCGGGGGAACCCACCCCCCTGTCACAGGGGCGCCTTGGTCCCCCCTCTGCCGCCTTCTCTTGGCCGCAGCTCCCCAGCGCATCTCTGGGGCCTCCCCCCCCACCCCACCCCCGCCGCTCCACACCTGTCAGCCGCCCTCGCAGCCTCCCGGGGGCTCGAGCCCTGGGCCTCTGCTGCAACCCCTTCGACCCCGGGTCCCCGCTCCACGCGCCTCCCGTTTGCCCGCGGCTGCGTTCGTAAACAAAACCCGGGCGTTGGAGCAGCCCCACGGGCTGGCGAGCGCGGGAGCCAGCTCGGTGCGCGGTTACCGCGCCCGGGGAACCCGGGGCGAGCTAGGGGCGATGGTGGCAGCCGCGGCGGCCGCGGCAGGCGGCTCAGCTTTGTTATGAATAGATGAAAGAGGCCACCTACACAGTAACCCAAATTACGAGACCTCCCTCCTCCCGATCTCACCGAATCAAGAGGGGAGGGGAGATGGGCGTGGAGGGAGGGCGGGCGGGAGGCGGAGGGCGGAGGAGGAAGAGGATGAGGAAGGGGCCAGTTGCATCCCACTTTCACAATGGGAAAGTGAAAACGCACAAGCGCACCCAACCTCTCCAGCCCTCCCCGCCCGCCTCGCTCCCCTCCGCCCGTCCCCTCCCTTCCCCTCCGCGCCTCCCCGCGAGCGCCCGCGCCGCACAGAGGAACTCTCCGGCGAAGGCGGGCGAGGAGGAAGCGGCTCCGGAGCGCGCAGGGCTTGCCGCCGCGGCACAGGCTGCCGGAGCGAGCCCGCCGCGCGCCGTCCTCCCTGCACTCCTTCCCGGCCGAGCCGCGGGGATGGGGCGGCCGCGGGAGCCCGAGCGCGCGCAGGAGCCGCCGCCGCCCGCGTCTCCGTCGCCGCGCGCCAGAGCCGCCTGAGCCGCCGCGCGCCCTGCCCGGGGGCGGCCCCCCTAGCCCCATGGAGGTCTCCCGGAGGAAGGTGCCGCCGCGCCCCCCATGCTCCGCCGCCCCGCTGCCCCTGATCGCCTATCTGCTGGCGCTGGCGGCGCCCGCCCGGGGAGCGGACGAGCCGGTGTGGCGATCCGAGCAAGCCATCGGAGCCATCGCGGCGAGCCGGGCGGACGGCGTGTTCGTGGCGAGCGGCAGCTGCCTGGACCAGCTGGACTACAGCCTGAAGCACAGGCTCTCCCGCCTGTACCGGGACCAAGCGGGCAACTGCACCGAGCCCGTCTCGTTGGCGCCCCCCGCGCGGCCCCGGCCCGGGAGCAGCTTCAGCAAGCTGCTGCTGCCCTACCGCGAGGGGGCGACCGGCCTCGAGGGGCTGCTGCTCACCGGCTGGACCTTCGATCGGGGCGCCTGCGAGGTGCGGCCCCTGGGCAACCTGAGCCGCAGCTCCCTGCGCAATGCTACCGAGGTGGTGTCGTGTCACCCGCAGGGCTCGACGGCCGGCGTGGTGTACCGCGCAGGCGGTACTGATCGTTGGTACCTGGCGGTAGCCGCCACCTACGTGCTGCCGGAGCCGGAGACCGCGAACCGCTGCAACCCCGCAGCATCAGATCGAGACACGGCCATCGCGCTCAAGAACACGGAGGAGCGCAGTCTGGCCACGCAGGAGCTGGGCCGCCTGAAACTGCGCGGTAGTGCGGGCAGCCTGCACTTCGTGGATGCCTTTCTCTGGAACGGCAGCGTCTACTTCCCCTACTATCCCTACAACTACACGAGTGGAGCTGCCACCGGCTGGCCCAGCATGGCGCGCATCGCGCAGAGCACCGAGGTGCTGTTCCAGGGCCAGGCGGCCCTCGACTGCAGCCACGGCCACCCCGACGGCCGCCGCCTGCTGCTTTCCTCCAGCCTGGTGGAGGCCATGGACGTCTGGGCCGGCGTGTTCAGTGCGGCCACTGGAGAGGGCCAGGAGAGGCGCTCCCCCCGCCACCACGGCTCTCTGCCTCTTCAGGATGAGTGAGATCCAGGCGCGCGCCAGGAGCTGCAGCTGGGACTTTCAGGCGACCGAGCACAACTGCGTAAGTCCTGTCCCTGCTGTCCCTGGGGCCCAGGAGGAGACTTGGATGATATGTACCAAGGGTTCAAATCGCGAGCAACTGCCTGAGATTGCAGGCTTCTCTAAAGCGCAGCCTGAGGTCTCCCAAAGGGAAAGTGTAAAAAGGGGCGGCAGGGTGTGGGGGGTGGGGTGGAGGGAGGTTCAAAACTCTAGCGGCTGCCTCTCTTTCCTTTTAGTCCAAATGCGGGCGCTTGTTTGGGACTGAGCTTCCCCACGCCACCCTCTGTCACTAACCGCTTCTCCAAATCGGAGTCTCAGTAGACATGTGGGCTTGACCCTTTGGGCCAACAGTTACTGATGTCCTCACAGAAAAGCGAAAAGCTATCAAACCTAAAGGACTCACTGCCACACCCCGGCCTTTGTGCCCCCCTCACCCCCCCCCCCGGCTGCAATCCATGTGATGTGGTCGGTAGAGTTGTGGCCTGGTCCACGCTGGTAAATAATGCTCCCATGCAAAAGCCACTCACAGACCGCCCAGCATGACCCAGTGCGAGGGGGGGCGGGGCTGTGGCTGGCGGAAGGTGGCTGTGGTCTCAACCTGGCTGAGAGAACCCGAAGAGGCAGGAGGCAGCTTGTGGATGTAAAGCCTCGCCCTGAAGAGAAGAGCCTGGGGAGGTGAAAGTGTTGGGGTGCTCCAGGCAGTTTCTGGGCTGCAGATTCCCAGACTAGATTGCAGGGCTCTCTGGCACCACCCTTGGGTTGTGCCTGAACCAGGCAAAAGACACAGGTTTCCCCAGAGCTCACAGAGCAGCCACGGCTTGAGATCTTGAGATTGACAGTTCTTTGACTGCAAAATAAAGCGGCAGTTCAAGAGGGTCTAGTTGATGGGGATTATGGAGGCTTTGTACACCCCTGCCGAGGCCCTTGCCCTCCCAAGGCTGCTGGCAAGTAACTCTGCATATGGCTCCTGGGAGAGAAGCCTGCCGAGAGCCTCCTTAATCACTGGACAGAATTCAAAGAGCAGAAATTGAGGGCTACAGGTGTTGCCATTGTTTTGCTATAAAATGGACCAGAGGAGGAAGGGAGAAAAGTCTTCGCGTGGAGAACTGTTGCTTGTGCGTTTATTGTGTACCAAGGCGCCGGAAACATTGGCCCTAGGGTATATTAGCATGCGAGTAGAAAAACACTCCCCTCCAGCCCTTTCTCTGCAAAGCACACCTTACCAAATAAATGTTCACCTTACTAACTCAAGGAGAAAACAAGCTTCCAGTCACTTGCTGCTTCTATGCTGGGGCAAGCACAAGTCATCTTTATTTCACCACTAGTGTAATTTAACACATACATGAAAAGAACACATGGCCCCCAAATGGCTTAGTCTTGCTGTAATTATAAAACTTAATATTTAATATCTGCTTTTATATATCTTCATGATCTAATAGCCAAAGTTTGACAAATCACTGGCTTTTCTGTTGAATGATTTGGAATTACCGCCCCCCCCATTTTACTTTGCATCAAGCTTTGGGCACAGTTTGTCTGTGGGTTTAATGACAAGACAGCTCCAAGGCCCACAGCATGTAACCACCGTGGAAGTCCAGGCTTTGCCATCTGACAGCTGTGTCGATGTGCAGAGCCAAAACATTTCTCTTGATTGCATCTACCTATTGAGTACTGGAGGACTCGGTTTCCTTCCAAACCCAGCATGCACCCTGAATGCACTCAAAATCCAGTTCTGGCTCAATCAGGTGTTCCTAGTTGCACCGGGATGGGGAAGGGGCAGGGTTAGTCTACAGATGTTTATCCATCTTCATAGGCGCTCCTGGGAGAGAGCTGCCCCTTGGAAACCAAGCAAGGGATAAACACATGCTGCCAAAAAAAATCTGTAATGGGAAAAAAATAAATAATTAAGACAGGTCCCTGTACAGCATTTCTTGCTGCTGCTGTTATTTATTGAGAACTCCCAGGGTGTTCAGAGCTGTGTGTTCTGAAAGATGGGGTCTCTAACCCTCTGAGCTTGTCATCCAAGTTAAATGATATACTTGGGTTCAAACAATAGCGTGTCATGGCTGCACAGGTGGGAGCTGGGAGTTTTGCATTTTTTTCATCTAAGTAAATTCCTTGCTGTTGATATGCATTAAAAAGACTTAATGGGATAGAATTTTAAGAGCATTTGAATAAAAAGAAGGTGGTAGTTTTGATGAAAAAGCGACAATTTTCTAACCAATTAAATAGGCAGATAAGATACTTAATTCAACAAATAGTTGTTTGATGCCTGCTTGTGAGCAATGAGGTATGCTGGGTGCCACCGATTCTGCCAGGAAAGGGACAATAGCAGGTTGCAACCCCATTTAATGGGGTCATGGGATCAGCGTGGCCTCGGCTGTCACTCACAAGAAATGTTGTCATTCGATTGCATTTCATTTTCAGGTTTTGAATGTGTTTTTGAAAGGCATGCTGAATTATAGGTGCCCAAAACAGGAGTTGGACCTGAAACACACTATAGAGGGAGCCCCAGCAGATTGCAACAGCTATTCCTTCCCTGCAAACATCCCTCCCCCCCCCCGTGCCGTTTTTCTTTGCTTTTTTTCACCAGTGATTCACAGGCTGCAAGGCTCAAGAGTCTAGATTGGCTTGCCTTCCCCCCACCCTCACCCCTCACCCCTGTTCCCAGCTGGTACCTGCACTGCCCATCTTCCATCAACTCGTGGTAATGACAGAACTAGCCAGGTGGTGGTTGCCTATCTCCTGGTCATCTTAGCTCTTAACTGCTCGTTCTTTTCCTTTGGCTTTCCCTGCTGAGGATTAATTTCTGAGACATTGTGCAATGAGTGTATACTGGGTGCTTTACACACAAGGCATTTTCTTTTTTTGCCCTGCCACCAAATTTCAATATAGGTTCACAGAGGCAGTCCATCAACTGCAGCCCCCAAGTGCACCCAGATGGCCAGTCTCTGCAGATCCACTCAGAGGCCCTGATGTGCATTTGGGTAACACCTGCTGTCCTAGATAGTTTCGTGTCAATTTGACACAAGTTAAAGTCATCTGAGAGGCGAGAGCCTCAACTGCAAAAGGTAGGATGAGACTGTAAGTATACAAGCCCGTAGGGCTTTTTCTCAATGGCTGATGGGAAGGACAGCCCATTGTGGGTGGGGATGTCTCTGGCTGCTGGTTCTGGGTTCTATAAGAAAGCAGACTGTGTTAAGTCAGTGAACAGCACTCCCCTATGGCCTCTGCATCAGCTCCTGCCTCCAGGTTCCTGACCTGACTTTTTTCCAGTGATGAACAGTGAGTGAAAGTCTTTCCTCAGAAACCTGCTTTTGGTCATGTTCTTTCATCATAGTAATAGAAATCCTAACTACTACACCTCCCCAGAATGGCTTCTGCGAGATTTTCAGTAGGTCTGGTTGGTTGGTTCTAGGAAAAGCATCCCATTTTCCAGATGAATAAGCCATGATCAGCAAGAAAATAAGTATCAAAGCCTTGAAGTTTAAGCCCCGTCTCCCACCATCTATTGCTGTATTTTTTTTCTATCGTGGTACTTCTGGAACTTCCCCCCTGAAAGGCCCCTAACTTAAAAGGCAGCAAACACTTTTCACTGGAACAGAAGTTCTCAGCCTGTGGGTCGTGAAGCCTTTGAGGGGTCAAACAGCCCTTTCACAGGGGCTGCATATCAAATACCCTACATATCAGATATTTCCGTCATAGCAGTAGCAAAATTACAGCTATGAAGTAACAATGGAAACGCTGTTGTGGTTGGGGGGTCACCACAACATGAGGAACTGTATTAAAGGGTCACAGCATTAGGAAGGCTGGGAACCACTGCTCTAGGATGCTGCTTTTCAAGTAAAGGATGCCCTCTGAAGGCAGTGTTTGCTTCCAATCTTGGGTTGTGCTTTAAAATGTCACATGGTTTGTTTTCTTCGTTATGCTCCATAACTTACCTGTGTTTAGATTAATATAGCAGTGCATGCTTTTAATTATATACATTAATCTGTGAAGTTAATTTCACTTCCTCTCTCTGTCTGAACTCCCACCACCTTTGGCACACCAATGTGTGAAAGTGTTTGTGTTTGAGTCTGTGAAGATGGATTATTCTAGATTTGTTTGACTACCATAGTTGGGTCTTGGAGTTGCCTGTGGATTGAACACAACTGTTGTACTTCTGGGGAGAGTATTGTATTTTCTCATAGTTTGGCTCATACAAGTGACCCTTCGAGTTCTTTCTGCCTATTGCAGGTGAATGTACCTCTCCCATACTCACATAATTCTAACCCTGATATAATTCGACTGTCAGGCAGATAACCACAAAGTGATTGCATAGTCTCCGCCAGCAACAGTCAAGACTCATGATGCTGCTGTGTATAGAAGTGATAGCCCAATTCTACTTGGCAGTGTGACCTGCTGACCTCACAACACAGCCTTCCCGTGGTGTTTATTGCCCTTCCAGTTTCTGTTATGATTCTGCCCAGCCTTTTTGTTATCTGTAGACTAGATGGTGAATCGTACCTTCAAGCACACATCTGACATGCAAGAGTGGATTCAAAAGGACAAGTGTAATGACAGAATCCACTTAGAAAGAGGGAAAAGGCAATCACAGCTACTATCTGCTGAGTAGTTATCATGGCAGGGTTTGTGCAAAGCAATTTACATGCCTTATTTTCTGTTGATTCTCAGTCACCATATGAGGCAAGGACTTAAGTTATTATGATGATTATGGATAAGAAAATTGAAGCCCAGAGAGCTTTGCTTAGGTTCCGAGCTTGCAAATAGCAAAGGATTTAGAACTTATGTGGTCTGGGTCTAGGACCTCGGTTTTAAACTATTGCCATGGATAGTCAGACCCTACAGACCCTGAGTTCTGGTGTCCATCCTATCCTACATGGAGCCAGCAAGGCTCAATTGCTGTAGACCAGCTGTTTGTAGATCTATGGTAGAGCAGAGAATCCTTGGTTGCGAACAGAGTTTCTGAGTTTACAATTGTCACCACTTGAAGTTCTGTCTGATGCCAGGTATGGTTTCTCAGCC